AATCCTTTTCAAAAATAAAGTTTAAAAAAAAAGAAGTAATGTTTACCTGAGGTAATGTTTAGAGGATTAGGCTATAGAAATAAATGAAGAATGAATGGAAGTCAATGCAAAGACAATGCATGATTAATTTATTTTTAATTTTAATTTTTTTTTTTTGTTCTTCTCTTTGCATGACATGTATTTAGTATTACGCAAACCGAAGAGACAGAATCTGTTTGCGTTGAAGTTCTATGACCAAATGCTTCGAGTGTGTTTGTACATACACACACGACTTTCTGCTTCTTCTTCTGCTTTTGTTCTGTTTTTTTCACAAACTTCAAAGATAGAAAGACATGGTGTGTGTGTGTGTGTGTGTGCGTGCATGCGTGAGACATTTCTGCATCTGCATGGCTCACAGAGGACAGTCAACATCTGCTGCAGTCACTCCTGCTCATCATGTACGAATCACTTCCATAATCGCTCACACACTCTCCTATTTCCCCATCAGATTTCTCATCTCTTGCAGCAGTGTGACTTCTTCCAGCCTCATTGTTGCCTGTATATATAAATGTGTGTATGTACTCCATAAGCATCTTTTTTTTTTTTGTCAAAAAGATTCAGGAGTCAGCAGGGTCCAGCTCCAGCTTTCCGTGGTCTTTTGTCTAAATCAAAACTTGCGCAGCAGGTGCCAAAAACCAGGAGCAGAGACTGGCAGCCAGCGCTGAAGGAACACACAAACACCTGCAGCTCGACACATTCATTACGAAAAAAATAAGCACACATGTGAAAACAATGTGTGTTGTAATTAAACTATTGCTTTTATGTTTCTGCACTGCATACACGCACAGCCATAAATGCCACTGCTGAGGGCAATTATTGAGGCTTATTTTCTCAAAGTAAACCACCACTTGTGCAGTTTTTAATGGAATTATAAGTCAGATTGACAAGAGGCGTTTTTGTTTTGCCTTCCACTAATCTCTCCCAAAATGCTCCAGTTCGTGTGCCGAAGGAGCAAACTTGACTCTTATTCCAGTTTTCTCTGTGTTGTATTCTGGATGCTGGACCCAGAGAGAGCAATAACAGTGTGTAATAGGAGGGGGAAAAAAGAATAGAGGTTTATGTGGGGCAGCAGGGAGGAGGCCGACAGTCGAAAAAAGAAGGAAAGGATAGAGAGAATGAGATGAGGAGGATGGTAGAAAGTTGGAAGAATGGCGAGTGGGGAAAGGCTTGGCAGAAGACCAAAGAGGAGGAAAGAGCAACTTTGAGAAAAAGGAGAGAAAACTGAATTTGCAGCGGGAGGAAGAAGAGAGAGATTAAAAAACACTTTATAACCAGAGAAGTAGGATGGTGTGAAAAGAGGGATTTATTAGGCCATTAGAGTAGACATGGAGGTAGGTAGGCAGAAATAGGTAGGTAGAGGTAGATAAGTGGAAGTAGGTAGAGGTAGGTCGGCCGCAAAATGGAAACTACAAACCAAATCAAACCAAACCAAACCAAACCAAACCAAACCACAAAGGGATGCATAGCCCCTCCAGTGAGCTCCTAGTCTGATCCAGGGTCTGCACAAGGTGCAGTATGTCTATAACACATCCAGAGGACACCACCCAGGAATCATCCCATTCCAATGCCCAAATATTCTCAGTTGTGTTACTCCGAACTCACCCTAAAGGTTCAAAGTATACTTCCTCACCCAGCTACGCTATATGACACAAGCTCTTTAAATTACTTGTGGTGGATCTGTGTTCCTTTGTCTATGACCCATATCTCTTGACCATATGTGAGGGTTAGGACATAAGTGGAAAGTTAGGTTCAGAGCTTGACTCAGCTTTTCCTTGACCACAACAGTGTAAACATGAATCTTTAGCATCAATCATGAACACATCAGCGTACCTGATGTGTACAGTCTTAGTTTCAGGCAAAGTCAGTCTCTTTCCAGTTAACCTTGACAGCTTCACCTCTCTGAAGAATCAGAGGTTGGAGGGCATTTCAGGAGTTTGCATATTCTTATTATCCAGAAGGCTAAGCTGCCCCTGCTAGGTTCTTACAATGTAAATGAACTTCAGGAGAAGGGTTAGGATTCTGACTAAGAGCAACTAAACCCTAACCCATTTCATTAAACCACTAAATGATCTGTAGCAACCATGTAGTATTCTCACCTTGAGTCGAAACTTCACTACCGACAGTTTATCTCAACGTGAGAGCACAGCGTGTCAAAAACCAGTTTATGGCTGCTTGAAGCTTTTGCAACTGCCATCAGATATAAACTCAGCTGTGCATTTTTTCATTTGAAATATATCTTTAAGCCTTCATTCTGCTGAAGCTGCTGTCTGTCGTGAAGACATGAAAGAGCTTCCAGAGTTCTCCGAAGCAGAAGTGCCACGATCAGAGGGAACTCCTTTATTGAGTTGATCCAGGAGATGCTTTGATGCTGCTCAGCCCAGGAAATCAGGTGAAATAGAAGACAGGAGGTGTGATGGGAAGTGACCCTTTAACTTTGACAACGGGTAGATGATCTCTCCCTGTAGGCAGGAGTAGGAAAACAGGTTATAATGCTGTCTTCATCATGCTGCTAAGTCCTAAGTTTAAATCAGAGTTAGATTATAAAAGAACATCTCCTGTTTCAGAACTCTGTAAAAACAAAGAGTACAACACAGCTGCAAACCAACCAAGACATGCATGCCCATTCAAACTGACAAGGCAAGCCAAGGAGAGTATTAATCAGAGAAGTACTCAAATGGATCATGGTAACTCTGGAGAAGCTGTAGAGATCCACAACTCAGATCGGAAAATCAGTCAAACGGTTACTATCTGTCCTGCATTTCAAAGGTCTGATCTATATGGAACATGGACATGAAAACCCTGAACATACAGCAAGAGCTACAGCACAAGGACTTAGGTTAAACTCATGCGTTAGACTGGCCTACTCAAAGTTCAGACCTGGATTTCCTCAGAGAATCTCCATCTTATCTGACTCACCTGGAGCAATTCTACAAAGAAGCCAAAATTTTAGACTCCAGACGTGCAAATATGGTGTAGAGATCCACCAAAAGGCTAACAGCAGTACTGCAGTGAATAGCTGTTTCTGCAGCGTATTGACTGAATTAATCCATACTGTATGCATACATGAATACATGTACAGTACATAAAGCCTCAGATGTATCCAAACAAGAATCAGGAACAGCAAACACAGATGTTGAGGACAGTTTGACCAAACAACCATGAAAAGGCCCAGCTGTCTTTCTGCTTAGTTCATCGATAAATGTTTTGGGGAAAGAAAAAACACTTTAACGTTAGTGGGTCACAGATACCAGCTCACTGTCAGCAGGGGAACAAATCCATCCATCCATTATCTCTATTGATTTATTCTCATGAGGATCACAGAGCAGACCTGGAACCTCACCCAGCTGGTATCGAGTGAGAGGCAGGCTACACTCTGAACTGGGCCAGTGTAAAGCGACCATTATTTTCACATTCAACCCATTCAGATGTATGACATGCAAGTGTAAATCCAGAACCCTACCGCTCTGGAAAACATTGGTGATAACTACTTTATTGAAATTAATTTTTTCTTTTGAACAATTTACAATGTGCAAAACAGAGTATCTGGTCTCCAAAATAAATTTCATTTTTGCCACAGATCAGTTCAAGTAGTAGCTATACATGTTCTCCCTGTAATGAATCAACATGCATTCAATCTTTTTATTTCACACAAAGCCATGTTTTAGTCTTGATTGAGCTGATAGGACAACAACGAAACAGAAAGATCAAAGGTTTTTTGAGAATTAGTTCCCAGCATGCAGCAGTATTGACCTGCTTGAGCCATTACTGCAGGCTCTGTTTAATGTGTTATGGGCACGGTTTTTATTAAAGTCCCACCTCTTTACACACAGGAGCACATGCTTTGTGTTATGCAAAACAATGCAGTTTTGCTTAAATGCTGCATTATGAATTTAATGAGTTTGTGAAATGGATTTTTCCCCCTACAAGTGGGGTAATGTGGAGCTTGAATAGAGACTTCACTAGTGACAAGTAGTCAGTGTCTTTTCTGTAGTAGAAAGCAGTTAAAGTGATCTAGATTTAAAAAAAAGGAGAAAATTAGTGTGATAGGAAATCAAAGCTAACAGATATTTGGAGCTGAGTCCACATGAGAATAAGCATTCCTCTTTACTAACTACATAAACTTGTAAGTTATTTTTACATCCCATTGTTTCTGTATTAGACACATATGTGTGTTTCTGTGTTCTCAAGCTAATGTGCATTAGCAAAATCATGCCAGGTTTTTATTGTCATTTCAATAATACACATAGCCTCCAGTGAAATGAATGACAGTCTTCAAGACCATGGTGCAAAAGGCAAGGCACAGACTTCTTAAACCTAAACATAAACTAAACCTAAGCTAAAGTAAGATTCAAATGCAAACTTACAGCAGCAAGAAAGCAGCATGAAACAACAAAATATATAGCTAAAATAATTCGTAAGGGAGTTAAACAGTAAACAGGACAATGTGTAATTTGCAAAAGTGACCAAGTGCTGGGCAAATTTATACAATCTAGTTCATTACAAATAGTGTGTTAGAATAAATGAATACAGTTTGGAAGCCAACAACCTAGTTACATGGACACCATCTGTTTTATCAGATTTTAGCACTTTAAAACGGGTAAAACCAATCATCTACATATATTGAATAAATATTTGTCACTGTTGAATCAGCATCAAAAATGGTTCAATGTCTTCCACGTCTCAAGGTTGTTTGAAAGTTATCCAAACAGACTCATGATTTGCTAATCCGCCAAACAAATTGTGCATTGATGCAACATACGCCTGACTAGGTTGGTATGTTCCACCACTCTTAGAAGTCATTCACTTCTCAAGCTTATGATATTCTGACATCTTTTTACCAAAGGAAGGAAGACTGTCAGCAATTTAAAAAAACTCAAGAGAACTAAAAATAGCCTACATGGAGCTAAATTAATTTATTCTGTTATTAAGAATAAGAGAATTTTAAAAACAGGAAGGATCAAACCTAAAACATTCTGTTCTGTTTAATGAAGTCAGATATCACAAGGTGTTCGCTCATGCAAAGAGGTTTTAATGAATATCAATTAAGTGCGTTATTTCAGGCAGTGCTTTATATGCCGTGGAAAACCGTCTGCATGCTAAGGGTTTCAAAACATTACAATAAAGCAACAACAGAAATTTTTACCCAGCAAAGCTAATAATTAACTTTGTGGAGGACAAGGTTTGCTTTGAACGGGAAAATGTTTTCATCTGCAAACATGCTAATAGAAACTAGACTGGCCTAATAAAGTGACCTGCTGGCATGGAGTTCCTTGTCACCTCTACACCGTTTTGAGGAGCTTTCTTGCCGCTTTAACATGTCAGCCATAAATTCCATCCTATTACTCCGTCTTATCTGCTTGTTCAATCGAATGTGAGCGTGTGTGTAAATGAGACTAACTGCCTGTTGGCCCTGCTGGCGCACAGTGTGAGATCAGAGAACAAAGACACAGAGCCGTTCTGATGTTTCTGAGCTGAAACCGTTTGGAGTTAGATCCACACACTGTGGCTCGGCAGCTGACGGGACACAGAGATTTGTTTTAAAGATGTCTGACCAGATTAAGCACTTGTTAATTTACCATTCACCTTGGCATGGCAGGGTTTGGTTTGTAGATTTGAGCAATAAAAGGAAAAAACACTAACTTTTTTTTTTAAACTTTGCCTGCAGAAGAATTTGAATATCTTCCACTGCTGTCGTTTGTGCTGTCATGCTGTTAAGCAGCAATGAGCATCCAACGTCACATATCATCTCCAGCTTTAATAGGAGAACTTGTGGTGACACATTAATGTGTGCTTTGTTTTCTACGCACCAAAACATTTTCATTTTCCACTCTGCTGTCTGCACTAGTCAGCCACAATATTTAACACCGTGCCCCCACAGGGCGACTGTGCACTGGCACAGTGTGCTCTGTGCCACATAACAATGGCACTCCAGCTTTTACAGAATGTCTGACAACATCAACTTTTAAGTGCCGTTACAGATTCTTCTTAAGAATTAGTATTTAGCTCTTTGAATAATTTTTAAATTTGAAGCCGTTTTATTTTAATCGCACTCCAAGATGACGTGTCAACTGTTTGACCTTATGTAGTCAGGTTTGTGTCTTTCCAAATTAGTGGAAACATGTAAATTTTTTACTTAATAGCAAAGGCTGTGAAGACTTTTGTAAATGTGATTTGTGTAGAATTTTGAGGAAAAAGATTAATTCAATCAGATTTAAAATAGTTTATTTGGCAGAGAAAATGCACAATAACACCTTTGTAAATGTGCTAGGATTAGCCAAAGGGTTATTTTTCCATCTGTTGTCCCTGGACAATGAGTGATTTATCTTCTTAAACAAGGCTAACATGATTTACCTACACACATTTTGTCAATACGTACAAAAAGTACAATCAAAACAAAGCAAGGAAACTACACATTTTGTTGCAACATATTAAATTGTGGAAAATGATTTAGTGTAGAAATAATATGTCACTTTAAATAACAGTAGGACAAAACAAAAGGTGTGGCACGGGGCTAAAGTGTTGTATTTTTTTTGCATACCTCATTCGTTTGTTGTGTACCTGCCACTTGCACACAAAAGTTTCTTAAGAAAAGCAAATGTGAAGGGAGGAAGCAGAACTGCGCCATAATTAATCTTCACCCACATCAAAATAAGAGCATGAATACAAACCTCTAACTATTTGGAGAATTTTGATAAAACTTCCAACGCCGAACTTTATTCAACTAAAAGTTTACAAAACAGGCAAGTAAATTAGGGCTTTGGAATTTATTCAGAAAATTTTAACTTAAGGGAAGCTAGGTGCACTAAATATTTCAAAGTTAGCAAATGTGCAATTAAATGAAAAATTAGATCCGCTATTAGCATTAGCAAGCTAGCTCAAGTGCGCCACCACTATATTCAACAAATAAAACTAGAAAGGTATAGTCCTGACCTACTGTACAGATACAAGTCAGTACAATATGTTGAGCAGACATCATTGACTATTTGCAGTTCAGTCATTAGAGGCTGTAAGGTGACTGATCAGTGCTGGTCCTCTGACTGTGTGCCTACACTTAGTCAACTGATTAGAAGCACAAAGACAAAGAGGTCAGCAGAGCCCACAGGGCTCCCCATCGCCACACACCCCGACAAACACACACAAGCCAAAGTCATTGGTTTCAGTCAGGGGTTATGGACCAACACTGCCGTTGTTTCTGTTTAAGGGAAAGCAAGAACCCAGTCAAAAGAAAACAAATGGCTGTAGGTTGGAGCCAGACCAGCATGAATTCTGTGATTTATAAAGATGTATTTTGTTTTAGAAATATGGTATTATAAGTACTACAAGACTGGAAGAGTTTAGAGCCAGACATTGTTGTGGCTGTGCAAATTCACTAAATTTTGTCTTTGTTCTCCTCAGGTGAACAAAGATTAAGTAAGAAATTGATATTTATGTCAGGATAAAACAAGCAATATGATATTTT